CAAAAGAGGGTTATTGAGAGTTCTCATCTTTATCTTGTGGCCTGTATTGCACAAGAATTTGTGCAATTGAGGCACATTCTACCGTAAACCAAAAGGTTACTAATTCGAATACTTTTGTACTTTGGCATGATCAATTGGGACACCCTGGATCAATTATGATGAGGCGAATTATAGACAACTCAAATGGGCATCCATTAAAGAATTTAAAGATTCTTTTGAATAATGAATTTTCTTGCACTTCTTGTTATCAAGGCAAGTTAATTATTAGACCATCACCAACAAAGGTTGGGATTGAGTCCCCTGCGTTTTTGGAACATATACAAGGGGATATTTGTGGACATATTCACCCACCTAGTGGGTCGTTTAGATAGTTTATGACCTTAATAGATGTATTTTCAAGATGGTCTCATGTGTGCCTATTGTCATGTCGCAACCTGGCATTTGCAAAATTTATGGTACAAATAATTCGATTACGGGAGCAACTCCCCGATAATCCAATTAAGTATATTAGACTTGATAATACTGTTGAGTTTTCATCCCAAGTATTTAATGATTATTACTTATCAATTGGGATAAAAGTGAAACATTTTTGTAGCTCATGTTCACACTCAAAATGGCCTTGCAGAGTCTTTAATTAAACGTCTGCAATTGATAGCAAGACTGTTACTCATGAAAACGAGGTTACCCACTTCTGTTTGGGATCACGTCATTTTGCATGCAGCAATGCTAGTTCATCTTAGACCGACAAATTATCATAAATATTCTCCGTTGTAATTTGTTTTGGGTCATAAAACTAATATATCCCATTTAAGAATTTTTGGGTGCGTAGTATATGTGCCTGTAGCACCACCATATCACACTAAAATGGTCCCCCAAAGAAGGTTAGGAATATATGTTGGGTTTGGATCGCCCTCAACATTAACGGGGGATCTGTTCACTGCACAATTTGCAGACTATCGATTCGATGAGACACTTTTTCCAAAATTAGGGGGAGAAAATGGTGAAACCAAACGAAAAATTTTGTGGGAAAATTCATCGTTGTCTAATCTTGATCCACGTGCCTCTATTTGTGAAAAAGAGGTGCAAAAGATTATCATTTGCAGAGAATAGAAAATCAAATGCCAGACGCATTTACGAATCTGAAAAGAATAACAAAATCATATATCTCTGCAGAGAATGTTCCAATCCATATTTATGTCTCTATTGTACAATCTTCTAGTGTCATAGCTAATGAGTCAAAAGCACGTCTAAAACGTGGCAGACCATTGGGTACTAAGGATCGAAATCCTAGAAAAAGGAAAACAAATAATCAAAATGACACTACGAAAGAGTCTCACGAAGAAATCCACGATTTAATAAATTCTGAGATTCATGAAGAAACCACTAAGACTCAAGAAAATAAGGAACTATCAATAAATCCAGTCGATATTGAGAAAAATTTAAATCGATTGGATATAGTGGTGGATTATGTCTTTGCATATAATGTTGCATCTAGCATTATGCAAGATAGTGAGGATCCTGAACCTCGATCTGTTGAAGAATGTCGATAAAGACATGATTGGCCAAAATGGAAAGAAGCAATCTAGTCAAAGATGAATTCACTTGCAAAACGTGAAGTTTTTAGGGCTGTAGTCCAAACACCTAATGGTGTTAAGCCTGTTGGCTATAAATGGGTCTTTGTACGCAAGAGAAGTGAAAAAAACGAGATACAAAGATATAAGGCACGCTTTGTTGCACAAGGATTTTCACAAAGATCTGGTGTCGATTATAAAAAGACATATTCACCCATTATGGATGCTATAATATTTTGTTATCTCATTAGTTTTGTTGTCCATGCAAATCTTGACATACATTTAATGGATGTGGTTACCACCTACCTTTATGGCTCACTTGATAATGAGATATACATGAAAATTCCCGAGGGATTTAAAATACCTAGTACACATAATTCAAAGTCCCGAAAAATGCTTTCAATCAAATTGCAAAGATCTTTGTATGGTCTAAAGCAATCAGGACGAATGTGGTATAATCGTCTTGGAGAGTATTTGTTAAAAGAAGGTTATACAAATGATGACATTTGCCCATGTGCTTTTATAAAGAAAACAACATTGGAATTTGTTGTACTTATCGTATATGTCGACGACATAAACCTTATTGGAACCCCTACAGAACTCCAAAAGGCAATTGATTATTTAAAGAAAGAATTCGAGATGAAAGATCTCGGAAAGACAAAATTATATCTCGGTTTGCAAATTGAACATTTGGCGAATGGAATTTTTGTTCATCAATCTGCCTACATAGCAAAGGTATTGAAATAGTTTTACATGGATGTAGCACATCCATTAAGTACTCTGATGGTTGTTCGATCACTTGATGTGAATAAGGATCCATTCAGGTCTCAAGAAAAGAATGAAGAGCTACTTGGTCCTGAAGTACCATATCTTAGTGCAATTGGTGCATTAATGTGTCTTGCTAATGCAACAAGGCCTGACATTACTTTTCCAGTCAATGTCTTAGCAAGATATAACTCTGCCCCTACAAGGAGACATTGGAATGGGATCAAACACATATTGCGGTATCTAAAAGGGACTACCGATATGGGCTTATTTTATGACAATAATTGAAGTCCTGATCCTGTTGGTTATGCCGATGCTGGGTATTTATCCGATTCACACAAGGCTCGATCTCAAACAGGTTATGTGTTTATCTGTGGAGGCACCCATATCTTTGCGATCGACTAAGCAATCAATTATGGCTACTTCATCTAATCATACTGAGATAATTGCTATACACGAAGCAAGTCGAGAATGTATGTGGTTGAGGTCTATAATACATCTTATTCGAGACAAATGTGGTTTCAAATGTGACAAACTACCCACGATTTTGTATGAAGATAATGCAGCATGCATATCCCAATTGAAGGGAGGATTCATAAATGGAGATAGGACAACATTTTACCAAAGTTATTTTTCACACATGATCTTCAAAAGAATGGTGATATCAATGTGCAACAGATTCGTTCAAGTGATAATATAGTTGATTTGTTCACCAAGTCTCTACTGACGTCAACCTTCAAGAAGCTAGTGTACAAGATCGGGATACGAATGCTAAAGGATGTGAATTGATGCTCTCATCAAGGGGAGTTAATACGCGTTGCACTCTTTTTCCTTATAAAGTTTTGTCCCACTAAGTTTTCCTTGCAAGGTTTTTAACGAGGCAACCAAAAGGCGTATTATTAAACATGTGTACTGCTTTTCCTTTACTAGAAGTTTTCGCACTGGGTTTTATTTTAGTTAAGGTTTTAACGAACATTACATATTGAGTAGACATTCAAGGGGGAGTGTATAGAATTATAATTAGAGTAAATGTCTATCTTTTAGAGAGTTTTACTTTGTGGTTAAGTCATTTTTCCTTTATAAATAAAGGGGTCTTACCTCATTATAAATCATCCCAAAATTCAATAAGAATTCCCTCTCTCTCTTTCTCTGCAATATTGTTCGTTCTTTCTTTTATTGTTTCATTAAACATCTGAAGTTTTGATTGAAATTTTGATATTGTTTGTGCAACAAATTTTCGACATAAACGTTTAATAAATATGTATATCTAAAGTTTGAACTACCACTTTCGGAAGTTTCAGATTTATATGTTCGAAGCAAAAATTACATTTTTTAAAGCTTGAACTACCAAACTGCATATAGGCCTTACTTTCTTAAAATTTCGTTTATATATGAAATTTTACCTGATTTTAGTTAGATTTTCTTATTTATATAAAGTAACTAAAGTTTTTTTATAAAACATACACAAATTCGGTCCAAAACTATAATTTGTATATAACTTGAATATAATTTTTTATTATACAAATTTTGGCCAAAAGCTACAATTTATATGTATACAAAGTTTTTTGTACAGGGAATCTGGTTACAAAAACTATAATTTATATATAATATGTATAAATTATGTTAGTTGTATATATTTTATATATCATCTGTACACCCGAAGTATAAAATATATACCATTAATATTTTGTATATGAAAGGTTGCCCAACTAATCACATGTTAAGTATATACAAAATTGAATTCTAAAAACCTTTAAAGTAAGTAAAAAAGAGTAAATATGAATTTGCATTATTCTACCTTTCTCTATTGGACAAATGACTGATTTCTCGATAGAAAGCTCTTTATATCCTTATTAGGTTTATTCGTTTAAATCTGAATAAGTCGGACAACTTTGAATATGGAATGGTCAAAATCGAAATAAAAATCGATTGACATCTCAATCTCAAATTATCAACTAATGAATTATTGAATGGTTGTTTATCTACTTTGTGGATTCTTTTAATCCTTTTATTCTTTTTAGTATCCAAATTTGATGGAAAGATTGATGTTAATGTGATAATGTCCAAAGAAAATGACTACTTATGTATACAAAGAAGAAGCCTTGGCCCAAAAAATTTGGGAGGGGTAGCGAAATTTCTTGTCGCATAAGTAGCGATTTGCACGAATGATGTAACGACTATCCCTGTCTCCGACATGAAACCGCTACTAAGCAAAAAAAGTTGATAGTATGAAATATGAATTTAAATTATATATAGTGTCATTGTAAGAAATTTTTTACACTATCAAATCAGTTTTACCTTTCGTAACTAGTGACATATCTTATTTTCAAGATTACAAGTCTCATGGAGGCTTCTATGTAAATATCATTAGCATGACTTGTTAATGTCTAAAATTATTTATGTCAACGATGCATATAACTTAAACTCATGAAATATATATGAAACAAAGTTTCAAGCAACTTAAGTATGAATACATACTTATCTAATGTACTGATAATGCAAGACTGCAAAAACAAGTAATCAAATGAAAATAGAAAGATATAACAAAAATGCATTGTAAATGGTGTTAGAAATTAGACTGGTAGGTAAGTCATGCAAATCTATATAGAGATTAGTTTAAACCTACTATTCTTCATGTAACAGCAACACTTATAGAGACAAATATTTATCAATGAGTTCTCCAATAACATAATCATTACAATTATTCAACAAATTGATTGGATTTTTGGTTTGCTTTCTAAAATGATAATGGCATTCAAATTTATAGCCATATTGTTACTGGAAATAACTCTTGCACTATTTTCCAGGGCAGAAAATGGTCTTCCAGTTAAAAGCATTCAGGTATAGATAAATTTTTATGTACATTTTATATATATATATATATA